AAAAAATTAATACAAGAATGTTCATTGTGACCTTGTTCTTTTTCTAATTTTATTTTATTTGAATTCAGTAAATTAACATCTAGTGTATTTTAGTTTCAGAGGTAGAGTTCAGTGACTCATCAGTTGCATATAACACCCAGTGCTCACTACATCATGTGCCCGCTTTAATGCCCATCACCCAGTTACCCCGTCCCCCATCTACTTCCCCTCCATCAACCCTCAGTTTGTTTCTCATAGGGTCTCTTATGGTTTGTCTCCCTCTCTGATTTTGTCTTACACTGCAACCTTATTCTTAACAGTAAAAAATCAGAAACCGTCCAAATATCCATTTAACAAGGGAATGGCTAATCAAGCTGTAGTAGATTCATATAATGGAATACCACTTGATTTCAGCAACAAGAAGGAACTTAGGCACAATATGAATGAGTCTCAAAAACCTTATGCTGAGTCAGCTGAGTCAAAGAAGTCAGACACAAAACGGCATGTACTGTATGATTCCATGTATATGAAGTTCAAGAACGGACAAAACAAATCCATGCAGAAAAAAGTTGGGATAGCAACGACTTCCTGTCAGGGGGCAGGAACATGTGGCTGGGTGATGGCAATGCTCTGTATTTTGATTGGTTAAAAATCATTGATTTTTACACTTAGTATCTATGCTTAGGCACACACACACACACATAAATGCATACAGTAACACATGAAAACTCTCCCTACTTCCCTGATCCATTCCCTTCCTCAGTGGTGACCACTGTTTACAGACTGGTGTGGGGTTTCCATCAGTTTCCATTTCAATGGATGTGTGTATATATACATCCAAATAGGCTTTTATATTTTAACATAAGTAAGATCAGACTATATGTATTATTCTGCTACCTGCTTTCATTTTTGATTAACGATATGTCTTGAAGGGTTTTCCATGTCTATAGTTTAGTTTTGCCTTAATCTTCTTAGTTAGCTTGGAGTTCCAGAGTAAGAAAGCGCTTGATTTCTTCAACCAGTCTCCTGCTGGACAATTTGGCAGTTTTCAAATTTTCACTCTGACAGTGCCATGATGAAAATTTTGTACGTAAATATTCGTGCATATGTGCAAGCATTTTTGTGGCTACTTTCCTAGAAGTGGATTTGCTTGGGCAAAAGGTGTGGACACTTTGGTGGATACTGCCAAATTGGTTTATAATTTTGTAACCAATTTTTGTCAGTTATACTCTTTCTGACCACATATGAGAATGTTAGATTCTGGCCTTCTCTCCAACATGGACATTATGAATCTTTTAATGTTTTTGAGACCAGATAGGTAAAAAAATGGCATCTTTTTCTGCTGAGATTTAAAAAAAGGGAAGTTTTGATTTTCTCCTTTATATACAATATACACATGCACATACGTACTTCCTGCTCCACACTCCCTCCCAGCTATGTAATTCTAGAGGCCTCAAAGCCTGATACTTTCTCACCAGCGAGTTAGGGAACACTTTCTAATTTTAATTTTAATCTGATGGACTGTTCTAGTGAATAGCAGGATTCTCTCCTTTCTAACATTCATTCTTAATATAGTAGCCATCGTTGTTAATCTTGATACCTATTGGAATTTTTTGATTTAATCCAAGTTCCTTAATGATGGTTGAATTTTGAAAAGTGACATGACTTGCTTTATGGAACTGGTCAATTTAAATTGAATGATGAAAACTGACCCCAACACTGTACTCTCCAACTAACCCCCATCTGCCCTTTCTCCATAATGGCTTTCTTAAAAATTTGCATCTTGAATATATTTTCAATGGTGTTTCCCAGGAGAAAAAAGTTCACCCCAAGGAAACTTTATTTCTGAACATGAAGCAGGTCAGTTTCTGGCAGAGCTTTGGAATCTGAGTTGCCTAGTGGGTGGGAATTTGGGGAGCGAGTATCAATGATAATTGTCCTCTGACACAGTATTGCCAGAGGACTTTGCATTCTGCACCCCCAGGGGTTCTACCTTGCTGAGTTTAATACAATTGAGAGCTTTACTGAGTTTAGCCCAGTTTATTTATGCATGTGGGTTTACTACTGCAGGTGGGGGAGATGCAGGTAGTGATAGGTCACCTACAGATTTTATTCTTGGAAATACTGAAGTTATTACTAGCAAAAATCACAATGGTCATTCCTTCAAGAAGTGTCTAGTGAGCTTCTGGGTGGGGGGACTTTCTTTTCATCAGGGAATCTCATATTTTTAAATTTCATGCCTCTCTCTCTCTTCCTACCTCATAAATTGCTATTTTAGCCCTTGCTTCAGGTAGCCCTAGGGCTTCTCTGAGGGGTACCTGAGAGAGTGACTGTCTAGAGGTGAGGCTCTGCTCCCCTGTCTCCCCCACCCCTTACCTTTTTCCTACGTCTGCCAGTGCAATCCTTCTTCTCCTTTTTTGGTTTTCAAGTAAGCTTTTACTAGAAGAAAGAGTTCTGCTGCTAGAAATATATTTGAAAACCATAGCACTCCTGCAAGGGGGTGTGTATGCTTAATGGGTATCTGTTGACATTCATGTGTACAAAGACAAGATGATCGTTTTCATCATCTTGCTCTGCATCCACCTAATTGCCTAAATCCTGAGCAGTGCCATTCAAAACCCAGCTTTTCTTTTCCAATCACTAGTGTCCTACATCAGGCAGCATTTGAAGGAAAGGTTGGAGAATACGGAGATAGGCTTACATCACAATGTCCAAACTTCAGTTTTCCATTATTCTTAGCCACTCATTCGTAATTCAGAGAAGCTTTAAGGGATGCATGGATTTGAAGGTTTGTTTTTTAATTTTTGGATTGAAAAAAAAACACTGCAGTATTCCTGAAAGTAAGATCTATGTATGTTCAGACTGCCCCGAGAACTTTGTGGGAGTTCTTTATGCAAATGATATTGGCAATAATAATCTATTTTCTTTTTCAGTGGTACTTGGGGAGAAAACGTTTTAGTAGTTGGTTCTATTTAAGAGTGTGCTTCAAAATTATAGAAAGTATTTCTTTATAAAAATGTCCTCTACTTAAACAATCTCACTAATAACACTGATCTCTCCATCATATCCTATTACTGGGCATAGACTTTATTTCCTGATCTGGGAAGTGTGCTTGCCCCAGGTTAGTATGAGTTTTGGAAATACTATATCCTTGTTCAATTAGGAAGCAAGAGGTTGTTCTCAACATCTTTTTAGTAATCAAAAGATAATTTTCTTTTTTTTTTTCTTTTTTTTTTTTGAACTTTAAAGATCAGATTTATTTGGAGAAAACAAAAAAAACCCCACAACCCAAAGGATGGGATTTTACATTCAAAAGATAATTTTCTAAAAGAAGATTAGCATGTAGACTTGAGTTGGTAGTTTCAGATGTGTACGTACCATTACTGTATTGGGTAAAAACAAGGAAATGTCAGATAAAAATTATCCAATCCAAATGTTGACCAAGTAGATGGCTGTTCTCTGTCACCACAATCCTCTTAATAAGTGTCACCAGGAATAGTTAAATCACTGCTTCAGCCGGTACTGTTGAGTTTTCATAAGGACCAAAGTGTTCAGAATATTTTCATCAGCAGGATTTCTGATAGAAGATCATTCAGCTTAATAAGTTCTCTTGAAGTTCATTTTCTTGGAGTGAGAGGGAGTAGGGAAGTATATAATTTTATGAGGACTAGAAATAAAAGTTTCTTCTTGAGCGTGGCTTCCATTTGATTAGTAATTGTTTTAATTCGACATGTTTGCTGTGTATCATCTAGTTCTCATCTCGTGCACGTTTCCACAAGAGCAGTGATTCTTTCTTGCGTGCTTTGGGAGGAGTGAGGGCTCAGTGACAGAGGCTGACTTAGCAATGCCTGAGGGTGGAGGGGGGCAGGGGAGAGACCGGAAGGATCCCAAAAGATTCTGCTCTGTGGCCCTTCTCTTTTGGAATCAGTGCTCCCAGGCCCTCTGTACTGCCCTCCTGCCTCCTCACGTGTGAGATTAGATTTATACCAGCTGCCACGGACATGGTTGCCTAAATCTGTGGAATGTTTTGCTAAACGCTGCTGGTGAAATAGTCCACATTAAGCTTAGAACTCCTCCCCCCGCTCTTTTAACCCATCCTTTGTCAGTCTTTTACTCGATCATTTTATGATTTTGCACTTTGACATCCTGTAGATTCATTAAGAACTTTTATTCCAAGCACCAGTCTTTACTTAACATGATGATTAGCCAAAGTGTTATTCTGTTTGAGCTAAGTGATGACAATGTATTTGATTGGAGCCTTGTAATTGTTATTTTAAAATCAAAGTAATGGATTATGATCTCAGAATAAGAACATGATCCAAAAGAATAATAATAATTAGAAGAGCAACCACTTAGAAGAAAATGAATACCCCGTCACAGACCAGGGGCCCTGTGTTCCCTGAGTATGCCTACCTTTGCAGTCCCAGGTTCCCAGGAAGAGTGGGTTCTCTCCCCCTCGCCCTTTGCTAGCCTCACTGCAGCCTTCCAGTTCCTAGAAGTAGTTGGTCTTTTCTTGCCTTGGGAATTGCACTTACTGTTCCCTCCACTTGGGGAGCACTTCCACTGGTGATTTCTTGGCTGGCTCCTTGGAATCTTATCCACTGTCTCACCTCCTTAGGGAGGTTTCCTGGCTACTGTGCCTAAAGTCATCTTCCTACCCCATGCCTGTCCACACATGCAATGCACATCATCATTTGTCACAGCATGCGATTTATTTCCTCTCCATTAGGAAACCTAAGTTGTGTCTCTTTGGTACTGGTCCGTCTCTCCCACTGGACTTCAAGCTCCATGAGTTGGGTGAAGACTATACATGTCTCATTCACCATGGCAGCCCCTGTGCCATCCTGGCACTTGGCATTAAGTGGTGCTTAATACATACTTGTGGTTGAATGAATGGAATATTCTGAAGTTTCAAGTTTTCCTGAATCCATATCAATATATTCTATCCTTAGTACTTTTGTTATGATAACATATTATCTTCCAGTGGTTGAATTTAACCACACTCTGCTGACTTTTCTCAGGCATATGAAGGATCAGAATAAGAAGGTGGCCAACCTCAAGCACAATCAACAGTTGGAAAAGAAGAAAAATGCCCAATTACTGGAAGAAGTCCGCAGGCGAGAAGATAGCATGGCTGACAACTCACAGCATTTGCAGGTGAGCTCAGGCTTCTCCTCTTAAAACCTAAATAATTGGAGATTGACTGTCTCTGACATATACCCATTGCTGTGGAGAAATATGAACAGAAATGGGGGACTTGCCTTAGCTCTTAGTCCAGCACTAACAGTGTACTCCCAGAGAACCCAATAGGTCTTCACAACTGTGGAGCATAATTTTCAGAATTGTGCCCAAGAAGAGCTGATTATGGTGGAAACTTTAATACTGCACAATCTCTTGGTTTCTATACCTCACCTTAAAAGGTAAGAGTTGTGTTTACATAGTTGGCAAGAAACTTAAAACAGAAATGTCCTCCTTTTAGAATTATATTTCAGTGTTTTTGGCGTTAGTAGAAGGAAAATGTATGCGTATTATCACAGAAGGTATTTGAAAAAGGATGCATTAGGTTGATCTCAGTTTACAAAACTGGTTTTGTTTTGTTCAAAACTCTGAGGCTCTGAGACACATCATTATTATGTCTTCTCTGTGGAATATAGTTATCTCTGAATGGACAGCCCTATCTCAGAAACCAACTGGCTGACTGAAAACACCAATTTTTCCTCATTAACCATCCCTATTTTTGGCAAAGGAGCTCTCCCCATGTGCTCAATAAAACGTTCAAGCTATAACAGGGCATTTGCTTTGAAGTTCCTTTATTTATTCGAGTGTGCCTTTAAACAGAACAGTTCAAGTTCAACTTGGCCAGAGTTCATTTTAAATTTTGCTTATTAATTAGTGTCTTTCTCCAGTTATATATTAGGTTTCCTCCTTGGAGATAGAAGAAGTTAGATAGTTTCAATATGTACTCACAGTTCATCTTTTTAATTGACAAAAAGGGAAATAAATAATTATTCTAGAGTAGGAAATACAAGGAAATGTCTTGCACAGAGCATGGCACATGGAGGTTACTTAGTCAGTATTAGTTTATTTTTTCTCTGTGTCCTAGAGGTGCCTTAATGGTTTCAGCCAAGGCCCTTTGCATGGATGGCTGATTTGGTTAGCACAAGAGTAGCATCAAGTCCTTTGTTCAGGCTTGGGAACACCTGAGCATGGACTGGTAGCTTATTTGAATCCACAGCTTTCTCAGTGTTCATGTCCCAGGATTTGGGTCTTAGTTTTCCCACCAATCATATGAGGTATTAGATTGGAGCCTACCAACTAAGATCATGAGAACTAAAACTTGTAGAACATTTTATTGCCTTGCCAGGCATATATTCTCATTTGTTCCTCACCTCAAGGTTGGTGATTTTACATTTGGTAAAACTGGAGTCAGCCTTCAAGAAACTAATGTAGAGGAATAATCACAGTAGTAGTTATCATTTATTGAATTTTTCAGTATACTGTGCTACGTACTTTACAGCACCTTTTTTTTTTTTTAAAGATTTCATTTATTTATTTGAGAAACAGAGTAGAGTGAGTGAGAGAGAGAGAGAGAGCATGGGCAGGGGGCAGGGATGGAGAGAGAGAAGCAGACTCCCTGCTGAGCAGGGAGACTGAGGTGGGGCTTGATCCCAGGACCCCGGGATCATGACCTGAGCAGAAAGGCAGACACTTAACCAACTGAGCCACCCAGGTGCCCCAGCCCTATTTAATTCTTATATGAGCTGGGTTAGTTGGGACTCTCAGTTGCAACTGATAGGAATACAACTCAGTCTGAAGTAAGCAAAAAAGGGACTCAATTAACTGAAAAGGCCAGGGTGGACTTCAGGCCTGACTACACTCATATATTCCCACTGGCATCAGGAATCTGTCTCCATCCTACTTATAGGTGCGCTTTGCTCTTTGTTGCTTTGATTCTTAGAAGAGCTGTCCACAGTGATGCTAGCCATCACCAACCAGCAGCCAGCCTCCATTGTGAGTGCAGGCCCACTCGGAGAGGAGAAAGTTTCTTTCTTAGTGGTTCTAGCAAAAATTCAAACCTGAAAGAATGCATATATTGGCCAGGCCAGGATGTGATCACCTGGAGCCTAGGGGATAGAGGTTAGCTACACCCAAATCCTATGGGCTGACAGTGGGAACAGATGACCTCACACAAGAAAGAAAGGTGTGTGTTACTAGAAGGAATGCTGGACAGTAAAACCATAGAGATCCACTATAGCCATCAGATGGGGTAGATAAGCTGTTATCCCATTTGATATATGAGAAGAAGGAGGCCCAAAATTACTTAGCTAGTAAGTGGCAGAGCCAGGACTCAAACTTAGATCTGACCATTTTTAGATGGTGAGAGTTCAGGAAAAGAGTTTTTTTTTTTTTTTTTTTAAAGATTTTATTTATTTATTTGACAGAGAGAGAATGAGAGAGAGAGAACACATGAGAGGGGATAGGGTCAGAGGACAAAGCAGACTCCCCGCCGAGCAGGGAGCCCAATGCGGGACTCGATCTGGGGACTCCGGGATCATGACCTGAGCCGAAAGCAGTCACTTAACCAACTGAGCCACCCAGGCGCCCCTGGGAAAAGAGTTCTAAAAGAGGATGACAAGAAAACTGTGGAGTGGCAGAGAGTCTTCATGGAGTGAATGGGATTAGAGCTGATGTGGGAGGGACACGGCTAGTAGGGGAGGCACTCTAGGCAAGAGAACTGTCAGCGCAGGTATATAGAGTCTGCATAGAGCAAGGTTTGGTAGGGCACAAAACATAACAGACCGATTGATTGTTGTGTCAGTTTTCAGTGAGGTAAGTTTTAACCATCTTTCTTTAACTGACTCTGGAGCTAGAATGCCCAGGATTCATTCCAAGCTCCAGAATTTACTCGCTGAATGTCCTTGGGCAGGTGACTTATTCTTCCTCATTTCGGTTTCCTATCTATAAAATGGGAATAATAATAATCGCATCTACTCTAGAGTTGCTCTGAGGATTAAAGAGTCAATGCATATAAAGAATTTAGAATTATACTTGGCATAAGCTATGCTCACAATAAGTATTAATGATTAATTGTTTTTATGATAACAAGGAAAAGGTAAAAGGAACATTTTGTGAAGTTGTTGTCTATGATATGCATGGGCATTTATACAGTTCTACTCTGATATGCGTTGAGCATCAGACTTGCTGTCTTTTCTATATATAGTCATTTCTTTTCTAAGGACACATCTAGTTATGGAAATTAATGTCTTGTTTTGACTCATGAACTTTTGCATAGCAATATTTTCATAAGGGGCCTCTTGATAACTACCTCATAGACCTATTCATAAAAGATAGCATGGTCTGGAATTGCTTAGTTGCATTCCTGACCACCCCAAATAAAGGATAGCATTTGAAATGCAATAAAAAGTAATCACGATTAATTTTGATGAAAATGTCTCTGGTTAAGGTTAATAGAGAGTGAAACTCCCACTTTCTTGGATTGTTAAGCAGATGTACTCAGATGCCGTAATTATTGCCTTCTGAGGACAGAACTTTCCTTTCTTGGGGAATTTGATTTTTTAATATCACTGTTGTTTTAAGTATTTCCTGTTTGTGAGTTAGCTTCTTCAGCCTTTTAATAAGTGTCTGTCAACTGGGATCTAGTTTGGTTGGTTGGACAGTTGGTTGATTGGTTAGTAGTTGTGGGATTGGCACCTACTAAATTTGGTTTACTCTATACTAGTTTTTTGTAAGGGTTGGACATGCTGACTTAATGATTTTGATCAACCAAATAGATGTCATATCCAGAAAAATCTCAGAGTATTTTCTGCAACAATAATAGCTGTTGGATGAGGTTCCAAAGGAGAGATTGAAGAGATTCAGCGAGTTACGAAAATTGGAGACAAAGTTGAATGTATTCAAACCAGGACATAATAGCAACAGGAAAAAAACTGGGCTATTTCAGTCCAATCTGGATATATAGTCATGCTAAGAAACATTTCACAAGCCCAACCCTCTTTAGTTCTTAGGTTTATAGTTTTATGGCAGGAATTGCAAGCTCAGATGCCTCCAGGGTCTAGGCTATTAGCATAAATAAGAAACAGGCTTGCATGTAAGAAAAAATTATGATGTCTCATTCTTTCAGCCTGTCTTAATTTAAATTTTTGGTAGAGATGTATCAGTTAGCAGTTGCCATAATAATGCTGTGTAGCAAATCATCCCCAAACTCAGTGACTTTAAAGTATCAATAGTTACTGTCACAGATTTTTCAGATTGACCAAGTGGCTCAGCTTCTCCAGGGTGGGCTTGAATGGACATGCCTGTTTCTCACTGCAGGTCTGTGGGTGGCTGGGGTAGCTCCATTCTACATATGTTTATTCTGAGACCCAGGCTGAAGGGGGTCAGTGCCACAGGGGAAACTCTTCTGATGACAGTTAGCAGAGGCATAAGAGAGTAAGCAAAAACTCACAAAGTCTCATAAGGCCTAGACTTCAACTGACACTGTAATTTTCACCTCACCCCACTGGCCAAAGCAAGGCACATGGCTGAGCAAATAAGCAGAGATTAGGGAAGTACACTCCACCCATGAAGAGACCATTTTAAAGGGGCAGATACAAGGAAGTGTGAGGACTTGAGACCAATCATTCAAACTGTCAAAAGAGACAAGATTTGTGGAAATATTTCTCTTCATAAGAAAAAACAATAACGTAAACATAATGAAAAATTACAGCTACAGTGACCTTAGTACACAGATATGATAGAGGTTAGTAGGGACTGTGAGGAACTCAAGAGCCCATGGCTCATCAAAAGGAATTGAGACCACTAAGCTTTGACCGAATGCTGCCATAAAGGTGGGCCTAGGGTTGAGGGACCCTCTGATGGCCATAAAATATAAATTTTTATGTGAAATTTATGGATTTGGTGCATTTTTTTTTTTAAACACTCTGGGTCCAGTGAAGCACATGTGCAGATGAAATGACCGTTGGCTTGTAGCCTCTACTGTGGTCCCACTGGGATCACGTGATGTAGGTAAAGAGACTAGCACCCTGGCTAGCTCAGCTTGATCCATCCAAGAGAGAGGGCAGTTTAGTGCATTTGTCCTGAGTCCTTCTTTTTGTCTGAAAATACCTCAAATACCTTGAATTATTATTCCTCAGGGG